AGAGGGGGGGGGGAGACAGTCAGCTGTTCTACAAGACTTGACCGTGATAATACACTTTGTACAAGAGAAGCAATTGGTCGCTTACTTTTAAGCACAAGAGGCCTATCCCGAAAACTGCTGTTTTGAGATAATCGAAGGTAACGTTTTTGCCCTTTGTTCAGTTTCTTTAAAAGACAAGGAGAGTTTTCTCTATAACCAAATAAATATACACACTAATGAAACCAAACTTCTCCTGTAGGTAGGGCAATGCCCACTTTTGGTGTAGATCAAGGTTTCTGGAAACCCTGAAATCTGGGTTAGCCCGCTTGTCCTTAAAAGCGACCAATTCTAACCCAAAGTTTACATTTTTTTAAATGAACCCGAAAAATCACAGATGGTAGCATGCCCTCTATCAGCACTACTGTTTGAGTTACACGACACACATATATATTTGAGCTGAGTGACACACAGCACATAGACACGACAAAGGTCCTGCCGAACACAGTCGAAGTAAGACAGACGGACAGAAACAAAGACGGTGGGTTTAAGAAAAGAAGTAGGACCTACCACATGCACCCTCTAACCACCCGCACGGTACCTCGAGTTCACAAACACCCAAATACGTCGGAGATAAACACTAAAAAATATGATTATATCAGCTGCTGTTTAACACGTCAAAAGTGTCTGTTTTAATTGTTTTGGGTTGTTGCTGGGTTTTTTTTTTCTTTTTTGTAAAAAAACAACAACAACAAACAACCACTTCACTATATTTCACCCTAAAGTTATCCAGCACATTACTGACGCGTGGAAGATCTCCCGAGAAAAAGGTGGAAAATCCAGATCATTAATCATAATTTATTTATAGAGGCACCAGCCATCCGTGTCTAGGTGCTGTTTCAGCCGCGGGAAATCCGGCAACTACGTAGATTACAGAGAACATCATCCTACAAGTCCGGACGAAAAAAAAAAAAGAAACAACAACCACTATTAGATCAATGTAACGTAACAAACTGGAAGACCAGGTCTAGGCTGGTCAAGGTGAGGATACTCAAGACCACCACTGAGCATATCAGAGACTACTCAAGAGACGAATAGATTTATGCTCTCCCCCTCCCCTCTCTCTCCCTCTCCCCCCACTCTCTCTCTCTCT